CTTTGGTAATTCATATGTTTCTAGGAATCTGTCTATTTCTTCTGTGTTATCAAACCTATGAGAGTAGAGGTTTTTGAAATAGGTGTTGATGATCTTCTGTATTTCTACCGAGTCTGTAGTGGTTTCACCTTTTTCATTTCTTATTGCATGAATTTGATCTTTTTATTCCTTTTTTAAGTAAGGTTAGCTAGGGGCTTATCAATTTTATTTATTCTTTCAAAGAAACAGCTCTTTGATTCATTGATTCTTTGTATTGTTAGTATTCTTTTTATTGTTTGTCTCTCGCATTAATTTCTGCTCTGATTTTTATCATTTTCTCACTGCTTTTGGTTTTGGTTTTGACTTGCTCTTTTTTTCCAGATGTTTGAGGTGTAGCATCAGGTTGTTTATTTGTATTCGTTCTGTTTTCCTGATGTGGGAACTCAGTGCAATAAATTTTCCTCTGAGGACCACTTTTATTGCATCCCACAGATTGGGGTAAGTTGTATTTGTATTTTGGTTTGCTTGCAGGTATTCTTTAATTTCTTCTTTAATTTCCCCTGTGACCAACTGATCACTCAGGAGTGTATTATTCAATTTCCATGTGTTTGTGAGGTTTTTGCAGTTTCTTTTATCATTAATTTCTAGTTTCATGGCACTATGATCTGATAACACACATGGGATAGTTTCAACTTTTTGCATTTATTTAAATATGTTCTGTGAACTAGTATATGGTCTAATTTAGAGAATGTCCCATGTTCTGCTGAGAGGAATGTATATTCTGATTTTGTTGCGTGGAACACTCTGTATATGTCTATCAAGTCCGTTTGTTCACAGGTGTGATTCATTTCTGTTACTTCTTTGCTGATTTCCTGTCTGGTTGATCTGTCCCTTGGTGTCAATGTTGTGTTAAGGTCTTCTGTTATAATTGTGTTCTAATTTGACTTTTCATTTCTATTAATATTTCCTTTGTATAACTGGCTGCTCTGGAATTTGATGCATATATATTTAAGATTGTTATCTCTTCCTCTTGAAGTTTTCCCCTAACCAGTGTGTAGTGACTTTATCTCTTAGGGTCATTCTTGGTTTGAAGTTCACATTGTCTGCAAACAGGATAGCTACCCATAGTTTTTCTTTTTTTTTTAGTTCCTGTTGCATGAAGTATTGTTTTCCATCCTTTAACTTTTGGTCTGTGAATAGCCTTTTGTGTTAAATGGGTTTCTTGTAGACAACATACGGTTGGATTTTGTTTCTTGATCCATTCTGCCAGTCTATTTCTTTTAATTGGTGCATTGAGACCATTTACATTAATGGTTATAACTGTTATATGTTGGTTTATTGTTGACATGTCATCTTTCTGCTGTTGCATCTTTATCTTTCTGTTCTGTTTAATTGTCTTCTTTGCTTAGTGGTTTTTTCCTAAGTGTATCTAAACTGTTTTTCAATATTCTTTGCAGGGTTGTCTTGGTGATCATGAAGTTCTTCAGCTGTTCTTTGTCATGGAAGTATCTTATTTCTCCATTGATTTTGAAGGACAGTTTTTCAGGGTACATCAGTCTAGGTTGAAAATCATTTTCCTTTAGGATCTGAAATACTTCACTCCATGCTCTTCTTGACTTCACTGTTTTGTGTTGAGAAGTTTGCTGTGATTCTGATAGGCTTTCCTTTATAGGTGATCTGTCTTTTCTCTCTGACAGCTTTTAGTATTCTATTCTTATGTTGGATTTCTTGGATGCTGATTATTATATGCCTGGTTGTAGTTTTATTTTGTTTATGTCTATTTCAAATTCTATATGCTTCACTAATCCTAATGTCAGTTTCCATTCTCATGTTTGGGAAATTTTCAGCTGTTATTTCTGTAAATAGCCTCTTCTATCATTTGTGTTGTCCCTTTCTCTCTTAGTTACTTTTTTCTCATTGCTGAGACAAAATACCTAAAGTCCAAAGTTGGGAAAGGAAAGGTTTATTTCTTATAGATTTTTGGCAGTTTCAGTCCACACTCAGTTGGCTCCAAGTTAGGGTGGCATGGCTGGGCCGCAGTTCATGGTGGCTGCAAACAGCAAGGCAGAAACCAGTAAGAGAGTGAGACACCCCTTCTTCCTGCCATTACAATTATTATATGCTGGCTCCACCCCTATGTGGGTATAGCACTGACCCCATCAATCCAAGCTCTACACAATGAACCAGTCCCAAATGCATAATGCAAATGCCTGAGGCCTGGGGCCACCAACATTAAACCATGACACTTGCTTTTTCATTTTTCCCTATCAATCTTATGTTATTTTTCTTTGCATCATCTTTTAGCTGTTAAATTATTATTTCCTGATTCCTTGTTATTTTAAAAAGATCTTTATTTTCCTGTTAAGTAGTGGCAATCTTGTCTTCAAGGTCTGAAGTTCTATCTTCACTTTTGTTGAGGTGGTTTTGACAACTTGCAATGGAATTTTTGATTTCCTGTTTATCTATTTGAATCTGCTTCCTTCATGTATTCTGTTTGTTTCTTATATTGTTCATCCAGGCATTCTATCTTTTTGCTTTGTTCCTCTAATTTTTTAACTGTGTCTTCTTCAGATGTGTTCAGCATTTCTTTCATTACTTTTATCATTTCTTCTTTTTCGTGGGAGAAAATTTCTAATTTGAATTCCTTTAATGCTTCCCAGAGCAGGTTCTTTATTTCAGTTACTATTTCAGGTGTTTCAGGTGTATGGCATATATTTTCTTCTATGTACATGGCTCCTAGGCTTTCTTGGGATGCAGTAGAGGTTTGAGATTGCATTTTGTTCTTTCGTCTTATCGTTTTTCTGTATTCCTGTGTTTCAAATGTTGTTCCAAAGCTTCCCTTGGCATGTTGGAAATCATCTCCTATGCCCTCAGCTCCTTGGACTGAATGGAGGTTGCTGAGTGTGGTCCAGTCAGGCCCACAGGTGCTCCCATGCCACCGCTGGTGTTCCAGGAAGCTTGGCTGGCTCCTAACCACTGTGGGTGATGGTCCAAAGGTCTCTCCCGGCAAGCACCGATGTGCTGGAATTCACTTCATGTGCCCACAGCTGCCCTGATTGAAGAAGGTTGCTGGGTGTCGTCTAGTTGGACCTGCAAAACCTCCCAAGCCTAGTCTAGTGTGTCTGGAAGCTGGGTGGGTACTTAACTGCTGGGAGCAATGATCTTAAACTCTCCTACCTCAGCCTTCTGAGTGGTGGGATTACAGGTGTGCACCACCATGCCCAACTAGAAGCCTCCTTAATTGCTTTCAGTGTGAGCTACAGAACTTTTGTTCTATACTTCTGGGAGTTGAAGAGGGTGTAATACTATGATTAATATGACCAGTTTTGACCTTTTGTTCTGTGCTTTTAGTAATTGAAGAAGGTGTAATATGGTCAATATGCCCAGTGTTTCAAAAACATGGATTTTAGTGACTTTTCTAAAATTAGATCACATTTGATCAGTGTTGTATAACTTTCTCTGTGATTGAACGGATTTTTAGTGTTTGTTCATTGGAATTGGCAGGAGACTTCAAATCCTATGTGGACTTTTTTGTTTTGGCAGAGACTGAGTAACAGCCTGAGGTGGTGTTGGAGCATAGGAAAAGACATTGGTTAATATCTAAATGAAAAGATTTCCTAGCTGTAAAGAAAGCCCTAAGCAGTCTTGGTAGTATGTTCACCTAGAAGGGAAAAGGAAGATTAGCAATGCTCTGAACAGCTCTCCAACCTTCTTCAATGAATCCTCTAAGAAATGCAAACTCTTTCTGTGAAAATGTGCATAGTTGGTACAGATTTCAGAATGATTGAATGCACAGTTAAGAGCATAGTGCTAAGCACTATGAATTCAGTAATTATTTTGATCTTTCTTCTTCCTTTAAGAAAAGAGCAATGTGTGTATTGAAAATTCTCGTTTCTAAGATATATTCCATGAGGCTACTGAGTTGGGTTTGGAATAAGGAAAAAGAGCGGAAACAAAGCTTTCGTAAATAAGGAGAGGAAAAGGGGTTGAAGGGAGGGTAGGTGACTGGAGGAAAAAGAAGAATCAAGATGTATTATGTACAGGTACAAATTTCCTATGATGAATGTGGTCAATATTAATGAATGTGGTCAATATTAATGAATGTGGTCATGTCTAAAATGTACCAATAAAATTAATTAAAAAAAGATTCAACCAAAGACTTTCTAGGGTACTAAGAAGTCAACATAAAAGAGTCATCAGGAAAATCACCTCCACCCTCTTCACTGATTCTGCTTTAGGGCCAGTTGGTGTTCATCCATCCCAATGGCAAATGCTCAGTTCCTTCTGGTGCAGCCCTCTTTTACAAAAGGCTTGGTTGTACCACCCACAAGTCAGTGTAAAGAGAAGGGGATGCAGAGAAGGGGGAGGGCATGTAGGGAGGGAAATGGGGCGATATGGTCAAAATAATTTATATTCATGTAGGAAAAATAAAAAACAAACACAAATATAAAAAGAAGTCATTCTATTCAAATCCAGCCCCTTATCACTCCTTGAATTAAGCCAGACTAGACTACAAGCAAGAGATTTGAATAAAGTTTAGCATGTTCTGGGAGTCCTACGAGATGGAAGGCAATTTGCGAGAAGATGAAAAAAAGAGGTGCAGGTGCTAACATGGATTCACGACTCCTTGGGTCCCTCAAGCCCCCACTTTACTCAGCTTAGGACGGTTACACACCGGCCTGAGCTCAAACTCTGCGGTGGCGCCAGAGTCAGGACTGGAGATAGCTCCGTGAGGGAATCTAAATCGGTGCTCCCGCCAGAAGCGGGCGACCCCTGCTGTTCCCTTTAGGCAGCACGGCGGAGGCTGCCCGGGTACTGGCTCTGAGACCCCAGACGTCCCGGCCAGGTACCCCTAGATCAGGGGAGGAGAGCAGAAACGCAAAGGATAGACAGCGAGCCAGCGTCTGCGAGGGTAACAACTGCCCTCCCTGGGCCTCCGGGTCTGCAAGCGGCGTGGCTGGCGCTGCTGGGGGACGAACAGGTGCGCGGGCGGGGGGGCGGTGCTTGGGGATCCTGCGCACTGCGCGCGCCCCTCCCCCGCGCGGCTCCTGGCGCAGCCCAGGCCAGGCTCCAGCAGGAGGAGGAGCTGCGGTGGCCACGGCCGCTAGGGCAGGTCGGCTGCGCCACGGGAATCCACCGACGGCGCGGGCTGCTGCTCCCCGAGTGGACGAGGCATGGGCGGCCCAGGGATCATGGAGCCTGGTGACGCGGTGCACCCTAGCCCCTGGCGGGCTGTCTGGGCGCTGCCGCTGCGGCTGCTACTTCTCCTGCTCCTTCCGTTGCTGCTGGGTAGGGGGCTGCGTGCGGGGGCCGCGGCCTCCTCTGCTGGGGCGGCGGCCGAGGACAGTAGCGCCATGGAGGAGCTCGCAACTGAGAAGGAGGCAGAGGAGAGCCACCGGCAGGACAGCGTGAGCCTGCTCACCTTCATCCTGCTGCTCACCCTCACCATCCTCACCATCTGGCTCTTCAAGCATCGCCGGGTGCGCTTCCTGCATGAGACCGGACTGGCCATGATCTATGGTAAGCACCCCTCCTTCGCCCCCACTCCCGTAGCCCTGGGGCAGCTGGCCGCTGCGCTCCTCCCGGCGCCGGACCATGCTCCCCTTTCACTTGCCAACGTGCTTGCTTCTTTAGCGTTTTTCGCTGCGATGGTGTGGGTTCCCAAGGTCAACTGTCTGTCTTTCCTGGCCTTCTATAGCCCTTACAAAAATTCCGCCCCATTTCAACATTTCTTGACTGAGCTCCCAGATAAATGAAAGGCATAGAAGTGGTCCGGTTCCTTCTGCCCCATTCTGTCTCTATTGCACCCTTCTCCCTGAGTCCTCCCCTGACCCCCTAGTTCAGCTCCACAGATAGTGTGCAAGTGGGTGATTTCCTAAGGGACTGCACCACCCCAGAAGATAGACCATAGTAGGGTGAGGACGAGGGCTGAAGGTGTCCCAGCTTGGTTGTGGGGTGACTGGTCCTCTTGGGTGCCACATCCGTGTCCAGCCTAAGTAGGTGCCCACTTCTGAGGTCTGCGTCCCAGGTTTCTTGTTAATGAAGCTAGAGCATGAAGTGCTGTGAAAGGTAAGCATGGTCCAGAAGCCAGAGTGATGGTACCATCATATCAGGCCTAGGTTATGAGACAGGTTATGTACGTGTCCTGCTCTTACGTTCCAGTGGGAAGTTATACCCAGGTACTTGCTTTCTTCAAGCCCAAAGGAGCTTTTGAATTCCTAAAATGGTAACATGAAATGATTTTGAGCATGTATTTCTGAGTGTGCTGAGGAAAAGTAGTGTTTTTTTTTTCTGGAGTCAGATTTCCTTTGTTATTAAGAATGGGCTGATGCCACCATCCTTTTCTGGATTTAATAGGACACAGGACATGCATGATGGCAGCACAAATCTCATTAATAATGTGAATCATCCCTCTTCCTCTTGGATTCCCCATCTCACTTCCCCATGACTCCAAACTAGAGTCATGTGTTCTCTTTTTGAGTTTAATTCAGTGGTGTTAAAGCCCATATTTGCATCCTCCAGTAAATAGATGAACCACTTTAGGACTATTCCCAAGAGGGAGCATTTTACTTCATCACTTATACTGGAAAGATCTCTCTGCTCAATTTCCATCCAGGGCTCCCTGATAGCGGAAAGCTGACATTTTAATCTTTAATGTGAAAATTACCCTTGGTTCTGGCCTTGCTTCTCTGGTTGCTTCTCTGGGTGTTGCTTGGTTGTTGACAGCCTGGGCTCATGGCCACTAAGACCTTTTTAAACAAACCAGGTAAAGGGAAAAGTGCTGTCAGGAGCCCTCCAGTTTTGAAGTAGTGGCTTTAACAGATATTGAATTGACATAGGACTGGGTTTAAAACAGAGTTGGTTATTACAAATTGTAGGACTTAGGACAGGTTTTGGTTTCCAAACCTGGCTGTTCTTGAGCCCTGTAGTTTATGTAAATGACCCTTGCCAGGGTGCCAGGTAAGCCTGGAGGTTTCCTAAGTAGACAGTGAGTAGGAAATTGAAGCATGTTGTCCTTTCAAGGTGATTGACTTGAGCTGTGTTGCAGATAAAGACTACCTTTATACATTATAGTCATGGAAATATATTTATTTTAAAGACTCCAGACTACCCTGTAATCTCAGCACTCTGGAGACTGAGGCAGGAGAATCACTGTGAGTTCAAGGCCAGCCTAGGCTACCTAATGATCTCAAAGCCAGCCTGAACTACATAGTGAGACCCTATCTCAGAAACCAAACAAACAACCCCCCCCCCCCAAATTCCAGACTCAACTCCTTAATGGGAATATAAAATAAGTAGCCTTAACAGGCTCATAAATACATGCTTAAGAGGTTGGAAAATAAATGGGGATTTAAAAATATGTTTTTCTGAGGAGTACTCCATGTTTCTAAGAATTAAATCACCTACCATATATCTTAAGGCTTAAAAGTGATAGTGGAATTTTCCTTTGTTGATATGTACTTTTAAAACTCTCCTCAACCTTTCAGTCATAAAGGACATAGTCTTGTGTACCATTTTATTTTGTGGACAAGCATGTTACAAATCTGGTTTACTTGATGATTCCGAAAAAGTAAAATCATCTCAGAGCATTCCTATGTAATTTTGTTGTATATTTTTGTGTTTTGGTGTTACTTTTTAATATATAAAGACATTTAATTTGTCAATATATGATGTCTTAGATTATGCTAAATACTGTTGTGATGTAGATTTTAATTGCGAGAAGACATTTATTTTTCTCTCAGGGATATTTTGAATTTTGCTTCACCCCCCCCATTCTGAATTCTTATATTATCTGACTCTCTAATTATTCTTTATACACTAAAGATTATTGAGATGAGGATACTGATAAAAAATTCAATTTGACAATCTTTTTAAAACTTGCTATATTTAAAGCATCATGTGAAATTATTACTACGTCAAGCATGTCCTTGAACATTTAAATGAATGCTGTACAGATTTTTCAGAACTTCTCTTTTTAAGTAGCAGGAAATCAGGTTTTATTTCTCAATATTAATAGAGGAAGTGAGTAATCCTCTTCTTGGTTCTGAGTGATAAGGATAGAAAGACCTAAGGAAACATTTGTTAAGTATCTGCAGTGTGCTTGGTATTTGACTTAATTTATGGAGTTAAACAATTTAACTTTTTAATATTGCCAGAACAAAGGAGTTTAACTGTGGATTTCAAAACCCTTTATTTTGAAAACAATTTACAAAAGTCTAATTTCTACCACTTTCTTTTTTTATGTAGTATTGGAGATCTAACCCAGTGCCTTGCACATGCTAGCCAAATGCTGCACAACTGAGTTATATTCCCAGGTCCCGACCACCTTTTTATATTGAAATGGCATGTTAATCTGAGTATATAAACTGATATAGCCAAAAACATCCCCAGACGGATATACAATAGACTGGTTATGTTGGTTTCTTCAGGCAGGGTGGGGTAGCTGACCATGAGATTGGACTATGTACCCTTTTGTACTTCTGTACACTGTATACCCTTCTGTGCTTTTTGATTTTTGAATTATGGAAGTGGAATCATCTAATTGTGCATTAATGCTTCCTTTTTGTGTCACGATGCATTTTAAGGTATTTTTCAAATCAGTTGCCTCAATTTGATGCCTATTTCTATTTAAATCACATTATGTTACACTATCAGCTTTCGGTGACCTTTCAATTGTTGATTCTACGTGGAACTTCTGGAGCCCTGCACCTGAGATGGAAACAAAACAGGGAAAGGGGAAGACATTTTCTTCTCTGTCTCCATCCTTATCTGTACTGTTGTCACAACAATTGATCCCATACTAAGCTCTTGCTTGAGTGCAGAAGAGCCGAAGACATTAAGAGATGATGGTGATGGTGAATGCTTAGCATTTGAATTTAGAGGAACTCTCCCAACACCATGGGACATTTTTTTTTTTTGTCTTTTTTCATTTTTATCGGTACCAGGGATCAAACTCACGACTGCCTGCTTGCAAGGCAGGCACTTATGCCGCTGAGCTAAATCCCCAGCCCCCACCATGGGACAGTTCTAAACACTCTTCCCTGAAAACTGACCAAGGCAGCTGCAAGGGAAGGTGACCCAGAATCTGACTCTCCAGGGAAGTAGAAAGCAGTCCTCAGACCCTGCCATGCCAGCTGCAAGCAGCTGGGCAGAGCACTATCCTGATACCAGTCTGACCTGTTTTGTCAGACTAGGGAGCTCTCAGCTGGCTCTGTGTGTGATTAAGTGTCATCCTAAAGTCACTAGGCTTGCATGTCTGTGCAGAAGAAATAGCAAGTGTTTGAGGCAAGGAAAGATGGCATAAACAGACTGTGTCAGTTAATTGTGGTTCTTTTTCATGTGAACAATAGTTCTACTTCCTCCATAATGTTTTTGTGACAACTGATACGCATTCAAAATATCTAACTCTGCCATGCTTGCCCACCACCTGCTTCTCGCTTCCCTTCCTCCACGCCTAGCAACTTTCTGAAGGACACATTGGTCATGCCCTCTGCATTCTGTAGATCATAGGCTCATTGTATCCTCTTGCTGGGTTGGAGCTAGATTGCTAAGCACAGCCTAAGAGTGGGCTTATAGGTAAAATCTTAAAGGGCCGAATAAGACTTCTGCAGTAACATGAACTTAGTATCTGAGCCTGTGAGCAAACATTTTTTAAAGGGGATTTTTTGATATTTTTAAAACTAGGTACCGAGAATTGAACTGAGGGTCTTTTTTTGGTACCGAGAATCGAACTGAGGGGCTCATACTTGCCAGGCAGGCACTGTACCGGTGAGTTACATTCCTGGTCCTGTGAGCAAACATTTTGGAACACCTTTCTGGTGAACTGGGAATTCCCCTCATTGCTTTTTAAAGCTTCTTGCTTTGGAACTAGTGGATCAGCTCTGTATGGTCTTGCTTTGGTGTCATTTGCCCCTGGTTTCAAATAATAGTCTTGTTACTTACGAAGCTATATTACATTGGATAAACTCTCTGAGCCTTAGTTTCCTCTTTTGGAAGATGGAGTTAATGTTACAGTATTGTTGAGATATGTATTTGCAGTCTCGCTGTTTGAATGTCCACTTTATATGCTTTAATCTTGTAACTTGAACAAATATTTCTAAGATGACAATATGTAATCCATTAACTAGTGATTTCCTATTGTTTATTTTTTCTGAAATTCTGTATAACTTGTACCCTTTTTCTGCTTTTTTTTTCTTTTTCTACTTAAATTTAAAAAAAGAGATATGTAAAGGGTCAAGTATAGTGCCTGGCACTTAAGCGCTTGGTAAATATTGGTTCCTATTCTCACTTTAGACTTTGTGATTCTTTGGCAAGCTTTATTTCTTGAGGTTTTTTTTCAGTAGAGGCCTGCTGTGATTTTAAAGTGGATTATGACACAGTGAATATGAGAGAGTAGAACTGTGTATGTTTTGTATATGTTTTGGTGGACTACTAATTAATACCTAGAAAAATCTACATCTAGTATTCCTTAAGGAATACTATGTGGCTGATAAAAAGGTCGTTTGTGATGTTTTTTGAAG